CTCCGCTTTCCAGCCAGAGGAAGTACGTTGCCCCGCCGATCGGAGGAGAACCAGGGCAGCGTCGGCAGGCAGTTTCGCCAGCGGCAGTTTCGGATCCACCTTGACAGTGGCACGTGGCAATAACCAATCGCCGCGCCTGCGACGCCCCGCAGAGGGCGCGCCGCTGCCTTGGGCAGAAGCGCGCCCCCGTGAATCGCGGGGGCCGCGGAGGCGGGTCCAGGTTACCGTCCAAAAACCTTTGCCTTCTTCTGCGGCGCCTCCTTCGCGTCCACCTCGGACTCGCTCGAGCTCAGCACCATGGCGTCAACGGCCGATGCCTTGACCTTGGCGCCATCGCCCAACTTTGAGGCCGCGGCCGCAGGCACCGCCCCCGACATCGCGGCAGGCTCGCCCGCGATGTTCGCGGCAGGCTCGCCCGCGGGAGCTGCTGGAGTGGGAGCCGTCGGCCCGCGCTGCGAGAGGGCGGCCGCCGCTGGGTTCGGCCACCCGCCGCGGGCGTTGTGCGTTGGGATCGCCCCCAACGGCAACGCCGCTGGCGTCGCGGCTTCCAAGAGAGGCGTCGCGGCAATCGTCGCGGCTGCAACCGCAACGCTTTGCGTCGGAGAAGGCGGCGGCAGAGGCGCGAAGGCGGTCGGCGGCAACGCCGCCCGCTGCGGCGTTGCCTGGGCGCCGAGCGCTGCGTTCCTGTTGCCGCGCAAGCTGGTGAGCCCCCCCGAGGGTCTGCGTCTCGAGAAGCCCAATTGTCGGCTGCACGGGCCCCTCCGAGGCGAACGCCTACTCGTGCAGCGTCGGCCTCTCCTGCTGGAACAGCGCCGACGAGGGGGGGAGCGCGCCGACAAACTCGGTCGCCTTGCCTCGAGCAGCTGCGTAGGCAGGGGAACGCCACGTGGTCTTCGCCAACTGCAAGTACACGCCCAAGAGCTGCGGAGTCGGCGAGTTCTTCTCGATGCCTGATCGCTGGTACGCCAGGAAAATGAACGCGGCTAGCATGCCTAACGTCGGCTCGGAAGGGTTCCGAAGCCCGAGGCGCTCCAAGTGGCGCATCAACATGACAAGCTTCGAAGCGAACGGCTCGGTTGGGCTCATCAGTACGTGCCACGTGGAGGCAGTCAGCAACTCCACGAAGCACTCGTAACTTTGCCCTTTGGACTTCGCGCGCCTCCCGCAGAGCCACTCGGTCGCGGCGCCGACCAAATCGTGAGTGACTGAACCCCGTCTGCCCGAGCTGGGTCCGCAGCTGCCCTTTGTCCGTGGCCGTCCACCTGCAAAACGACGGGGGAATGTTAGACGGCGGGGGGGAGGGGGGAGCGGACGGCGTTCCGCCGAACGGAGGCGGGGACCTCCTCGAGGGGGAACGGATGGCCTCTCGCCCGTACGGGATCTTTGACCCGAGCCTCACTTTGGCCTTCGATGAGCGCGCGCACCTTCCCGAAGCGCAGCTGCTCTGCGCCCCTGGAAGGCCCGCTCGCCGCTGCAAGCGCCGCGGCTGCCTCGCCCAGGGCAGCCTGGGCGCGTTCCATCGCGCCGCGGCGCGACGGGGGGCGCCCGCCCCGCGGCCCCTCCAGAAGCGCTCGGTGGGACAGGGGCAGCGAATTGTGGCGAAGGGAAATGGCATGGCCCTTCACGTCTCCCTTTTGCTCTCCTCTCCTCCCCCCTCTTCCCCCCTCCCCCCTCCTGGGCGGTGCGCCGCCAATGCGGCCATGCAAGCGGTATATGATGAAACGTGCGCCGAAGGCGGTGCACCGCCAACGAATGCAGAAACACCTCGCGCAATCAAGGTGACGCGGGCGGTGGGCCGCCAAATGCGATGACAAATTCGGGCGGAGCATGCGCCGCGGGCGGCGCACCGCCAACGCGAAAGAAACGCATCGCGCAATCACGGGAACGTGGGCGGTGCACCGCCAAATGCGATGACGAATTCTGATGAAACGTGCGGCGTGGGCGGTGCTCCGCCGATGCGTGAAGAAACGCCTCGCGCAATCGAGGGAACGTGGACGGTGCGCCGCCAACGCGACGACACTTCAATCAACATGTGCAAAACGTACAAATTGCAATACGCGGGCAAAACGCCGCGATGGGCGGTGCGCCGCCAATGCGATAAAACTGCTCAGAATTTGCACGACGTGGGCGGTGGGCCGCCGAAACAAATCACATCAGAACGCGCCGCGATGAGAAGTGCGGGCGGTGCGCCGCCAATGCGCACGGCATCCCCCCCCGATTCCCCCCCCACCATTCCCGCCCCCTCTTTCCTACCCCCCAGGCTGCGCGGGTTGAGCTCGGTGATGAACGGCCTTCTCGGTCGCCTGGCGCCTGGCGAAACGCTGCGCTGCAAAAAACCTGCGCGTTTTTTGGCGTCCGACCCCCTTTTCAAAAAGCAGACGAAAAAGCAGACTTATCGGACTTAAACTATTTACAAGTATAACTATACGTAACTTATAAGTATGGTAATTGGGTGCACAGAAGTATAATATGTTCTACATGTGATTTAAGTATATATGTTAATGAATTAAATTAGATGTGGATGGTAGTTGCAGGATCTTAACATATCTCACTACAAGTGATTTCAAGTTACTTACAAATAACTTCAGATATGATTGAAATAACTTATAAGTGACTTCATCTGACGTAGATCTCATATGTCGGTGCCATCACCAAAGTCTGCCGCTTCCTCCGTTCCTGCTGCCCCCTCCCTCCCTCGTCCCCCCCTCCGACGGCCCTCCCTCCCTCGCCCCTCCCTCGCCCCTCCCTCCCTCGCCCCTCCCCCCCTCCGAACTGAGCCGGCCGAACTGGACCGAACCGGCCGAACCGAGCGACCGAGCCGGACCGGCCGAACCGGACCGGCCAAAATACTCGAACCGGACCGGATGGACCGAACCGGACGGCGATCTGAACCGGACCGGCCGCGCCGACGCGAAGGCGCGCCGAACCGGACCGAGCCGAACCGAAAAGGGGCCATCATGCAATAATCGCTTTGCCCCTTGGACTCGCCCACGGCAGCGCATGCGACATCTGCCTCGGTATCGATTAAACAGAGAGGGCTCGACATCGATCTCATCAGAAGTGACGAGGCGCCTGGCTGCGGTGAAGGATCGCTCCAACCTAGCACTGAGCCCTGGGCCTGGCAATTCATCTGTTTAAAAATGTAAATCTCGCGTGCAAGCATAAACTCGTTCTGGTCCGAACCAGCGCCACGGGGCAATGCCAGCACCTGACCGACGGCATTCTGGAGCCATTTCCAGCCATCGGCAATTGCTCGCGCATCGCTGCTAGTTTTGGCCGCGCAACATACTTCAGACCACTGCGATTTTAAACCTCGCCCAAAGGATCCTGAATTGGAATTGGGCTGCCCCGAACACTGCCCGAGACATCGGGCGGCCGCGGTGGCAAAGAGCCCCCGAGCCGTAGACGGGAGAGCCCGCGCGTCCGATGCAGACGCCCCGGGGTCGCAAGCCGCCTCGCAGGCTCTCTCGGCGAGGCGCTGCTCGACGTTCCAATTGGGAGGCTCGGGAACTGGGTTTGTCGGGAACTCCTCGGGCAGCGCTGGGGTCACAGAATGCACGAGATGATGAGGCATATAACCGTCATCGGCAATAGCTAGACGGATGGGCCCACGGGCCCTATCCGCCCAGCGCATGTCAAAGGTGAGCGCCTTGAACCTCTCATCAACATATCGCTGCAACCAGAAAACACCATGGTGGAACCTGCCCACCCCCTGCGCGTCGGCACCGCAGGCGCCAAGACGCGCAAATCGGCCAGAGAATGGGGGTCCGAAGACTCCAGATTTCATGGCTCAGGTTCCAATCTCCTGCAACGAACGCAAGACCCCTTACTCTGCGCGCTCTGCCCGAAAGCCGCAAGAATCGGAGCATTTGAACCGCCTGGCCCTGCAGACGGGCGCAAGTAGATGTTGTAGACCGCAATGGCCGGCCCACCTGGAAGGCCCGCATCGACTCGCTGCGCACGGCGAGGCCAAACCTGCACGACTCCAGACTCGCGGGGCCGAACTCCGAGACCAAAGCGGCTAAATGCAGTTAGACCAGCAGACGTGTTGCGTCGGGGCGCAGGCGCCGAAGCCAATGCTCGCATCTTCAACCCCCGCGCCGCGCACCAAGAATCATGCGCCTCGAAGTCCGACTCGACGTAGTCAAGCTCCTGAATCGGAACTACTGTTGCCAGCGCCTTCTCCGTCGCATGGCAGTCTTTTCACGGCCGGTCGCGCCGGGCATTTCGAACATGTGCGCGCCGGCTGCCATCATCTCGGAGGCGTCAGGAATAGCGCCGAAGACGCGCAGGAACCTGCTCACCCACGCAAGCGCCAGAAGCGCCGGACACCGCCGCCGAAGGTGAGGACGGCGGCAAACTCCAGAGCCACCCCGCCAGCGCATCGGCCGCGCCGATGCGCGCTAGGAACGCTTCACTCGCGGGGCATCGCAGCGAGCGTCTCTTTGAAGGATCTCTTATCGTTGGCCAAGGTGAACAGGATCTGCTGCTCATCCTCGCTGAGAACTTCGCATTCACGTTTCTGGCCTCCGGGGGGGGGCGCCGCCGCCTTCAACGGCAGCGCCCTCGCCAGGAGGTTGACCCATGCTGCTGCCGCCACCAATTTGGCCACCAGCGTCGACGTCCATCTTCGCTGGGAGACTGCTGGCCTTTTGGTGATGAGATCACGCAGCTAGGGCCGCCCATCGCCCTGGAGGAAATCTGACAACGCAGCGGGGGCATCATAGGAGGCGATCTCGAAAAGCTGGGAGATATCAGGGGCAGACCCGGCAGCCTTGTCCTTATCGGGCGTGAGCTGCTTGGCCGTCCCCGCGAACTCAATCACGAGCTGTGCCACCTCCCCCTTCTTCGCAACAGTATCCGAGTCGCGCTGGCTGGTGACTCCTGCAGGCCTTGCGACTGTTTGCGCTTCTCGGCAGCTTTCTCCTGCATCCTCGCCAAGCTGGTCTGAGCACGTGACAAATCCTGAGAGGCCCTTCGATGCGCCGTCGTCGGAAAGCGAAGCTTCTTGCGCTCGGCTCGCAGCTCGGCGATCCTGTCATCGATCGGTTTGCGCAAGGTGTCATCCTTGATCCGCTTTGTCACGTCCTCGAGCTCGGTGATATCCACAATGATCTTGTCGCGCTTGACCGCATCACTCGCCTCTTCCTCGACAACAACGGGGTCCTGCTTCGTGCCCTGCGCATCGGGGTAGAGCCACGGCGGGACAGTCCCCGTGGGTGGCGCCGCTTCTGGAGCACTGGCGGTAGTCGTGGATGGCTGGACGGCCTTGAGCAACTGCACCAACTGTTGTTCCCACTTCTAAAGCTTGTTAGCGTCTGTGCCACCTTTGGCTTTGCCTCGGCCTTGATCCTGCTCTCGTCCTGTACTTTTGCCTCCCGCGCGACAGGATGCCCAAGCAACGGCATTCTGTTTGCCTTCTGCTGAACTCGCTGGGGTGCCGGATTGCCGCACTGGCACACCAGACGCGACGCCCAGTTGTGAGCCACACCGCATCGCCCACATCCCCAGACTGGATATCGCCGCCCTGGGAGAACGGCCTGGTCCTGCCTGGCAGGTGGCCCCATGACCGTGATGTAGTGGCTCGCGAATAAAAGGGGAAACGCCCCAGCTCGTTACACGAAGTGCTGGTGTGGTGCGTCACACCAGAAAGCTGTCGGGGCCGTCACTCCCCAAAACCAAAGAAGACCTCAAATCCTTGAGCAATGCCTCCGGACTTGAGCCATAATGGCAACGGAGAGAGGGAGGGAGGGAGGAGGAGGACGAGGAGGAGGGGAAGGAAACGAGGAGGAGGCAGGAGGAGGAGGAGGCGGAGGAGGAGAAGGAGGAACAGGAAAAGCAGGAGAAGCAAAAGGAAAAGGAGGAGGAGGAGGGAGAGGAGGAGAAGGAGGGAGGAGGAGGAGCAGGTGGAGGACGGGGGGAAGCAGGAGAAGCAGGAGGAGGAGGAAGAAAACAAGGAGGAGGAGGAGGAGGAGGAGGAGGAGGAGGAGGAGGACGAGGAGCAGGAGGAGGAGGAGGAGGAGGACAAGGCAGAAGGAGGATGAGGAGGAGGAGTGAGGGAGGAGGGAGGAAGGAAAAGGACGAGGAGGAGGAGGGAAGAGGAGGAGGAGGAGGAGAAGGAGGAGGAGAAGGAGGGAGGAGGGAGGAAGGGAGGGAGGGAGGGAGGAAGGGAGGAGGAGGAAAGGAGGAGGAGGAGGAGGAGAAGGAGGAAAAGGAGGAGGAGGGAGGAGGGAGGAAGGAGGGAGGGGGGAGGAGGGAAAAGGGAGGAGGGAGGAGGCGCGCCGGCGCTGCCGGGGCGGCGCGGCGCGTGGAGCGGCAGGGGGCAGGCGCGCCCGGTGCCCGTGCGCCTCGTCGTCCTCGTCGCAGCGGCCACCTCGGCAGACGGCCCGGCGGGCGGGTGGGGCGGGGGCGAGGGGGACGAAGGCGACGAAGGCGACGCTGAGGTCGGGCGTGCCCCCCTGCAGGAGGATTTTGGCTGAAAAACAATATACATACAACAAGGAACTCAAACATGCCCCAACATTTACTACAAAAGTAGTCCCCAGGCAATCTTGTGACTATTTTTGAGCATTCCCCCTGTGGAGGGACAGGCCCGAATTCAGGCGACGGCGCGGGGGCGGCGGGCGGGGGCGGCGAGGCGGCGACGGGGTGGGCTGGCGGGCGGCGGGGCGGGGGGCGAGCGGGGCGGGGGCGAGAGGCTGGCGGGCGACTGGGCGGGGGCGAAGGCGCACACGACGGGCTGCGTGCGGAATCCGTAGAGGTCGCTGGAGGCGGCGAGGGCTTCGGCCAGCAGCAGAGGAACAAGGAGGGCGTCTTCGACAAGGCTGCGGCGCGCGACGGCATGGTCGGGGCGGCGTGCCAGCTTGCAGAGGTGGCGGTTGAGGGCCCACTCGGTCGCGCTCGACGGGACGGTGCTCCTCCCGAGCTCGGTCGGTGCTGGGACGTGGCGCCCAGGTTGGGCTTCCAGGTTGAGGCGGCTCCCTGGCGTGCGGTGGCTGGGCAGGTGCCGAAGAAGGAACTGCGCCAGTCGGACACCGCGGCCGCCAACGAGCTCAAGCCTGAGGCTCGAGGCGCCCTGGGCGTTGCTCGGAAGCCGTGTGGCCGACGGGCGGGCGTCTCTCTGGGTGGCTGGGGGTGCGCTGCCACCTGGCCTGCGGGGTTGTGTGTCTGGGGCGAGGGAGACGAAGTCGACGAAGACGACGCAGACGACGATCGCAGCGGCGGCGGCGGCGACGACGACAGCGACGACGGCGACGACGACGACGACGGCGACGGCGACGTGATCGACAACGACGCGACGACGACGTGGCTACGATATTCAAAGACGCAAGACGTGCATCACAAATCTGCCAAAGCCGAAATGCCAATGCTGCCGCCCTGAGAGCTCCACTCGCGCGCAAGCTTATACCGATACGCCCCCGTGGAGCAAGGGACAGGCAGGGAGGATACGCCCCCGTGGAGCAAGACGCGTACTACATGGGCCTCGTGCTGCACACCCTGCACACTGCAGCCGTGGGAGCCCCACTCGCCCGGGCCTTCGATGCATGCCCAGCGAGCTTCAACGGAGCAACGCGTGTACCACATGGACATTTCGAGAATTCCAGACTCCTCCGACTCCTGCCCTGCCCCTGCCCCGGGCTGCACAACTTTCCCCCTCGCCTTCTTGATATCATTATTTCTATGCTTTCTTTAGCAAAGCCGAAATGCCAATGCTGCCGCCCTGAGAGCTCCACTCGCGCGCAAGCTTATACCGATGCCGCAACAAAAGCTTATACCGATGCCGCAACAATTGCCGAACTGCTGCGAGGGGATCCACCCAGACGCGGAGTCGCGCGCGCGCGCGCCGCGAAAAAGCAAGCCTCGAGAGCTCCACTCGCTGGCTACGATATTCAAAGAAGCAAGACGTGCATCACATGGACATTCCGATACTTCCAGACTCCTCCAATTCCTGCCCTGCCTCGTGCTGCACATCCTTCCCCTCGTCTTCTTCTCATTGCTATGCTTCTTCCTTTCACGAGAACAAGCCAGAAAGCCAATGCTGCCGCCCTGAGAGCTCCACTCGCGCGCAAGCTGATGCCGGTGCCGCAACAACTGCCGAACCGCTGTGAAGGGGTCCGGGGCGACGGGGAGTCGCGCGCATTCTGCGAGGGAGCCTGGCCCGTGCCCGTCAGGGCATGGCGTGGACAAAGAGTGGTGCTCAAACGTGTATTTGAGGCAAGGAAGGAAGGAAGGAAGGAAGGACAGCAGCGGTAAGGAATCACAGCAGCGGAGGGGCCTAGTGGTGACGTGGTGTCAAAGTTTGTTCGGCACCGTGCTCAATAAGTCTAAAATGCTCAACTCATGGAGGCAACGTGGACGTCCTCGCTGAGAGCGGCATTGCTGGTGGTGCTGCGCCCACACCCACACGCGCTCAACTCACGCATGCCAAGGGACCTAGAACAAAACTTCGCGCGAAACAGTCAGGCGGACATTCTTCCGAGTTAAGGAACCTGACGCCAAGCGGAGCGGAGGAAAAGCCGAGGTATCCTCCTGGTCGTCAGCGCACATCGCTCGACCAGAGGCCTGCTTGCAGATGCCCCGAACAGTGATTGCGCCAGGGGTTCTCACTTGTGTTACCGAAATCGTGGGTTTGTTTGGCGGCGTGCGCAAGGGGATAGGGAGAGGGTGAAAGGCTCCTTAGAAGGAGCTCGCTTTTTAGAGGTTGCGGGCATGGCCGGCGTCTTCTAAGAAGCAGCCTCCTTCTAAGCAGCCTTCCCCCACGACGACGATGGCGACGACGACGTGATCACCGTCGTCCTCCTCCGCCGCCGCCTCCTCCGCCTCCTGCTGCCCTTCCACCCCCCTTCTCCTCCTCCCCCTCCCCCTCCTCCTCCTCCTCCTCCATGTCCTCCTCCTTTCCTGGGCTCTCTCGCCGATCCTTTCGCCCTCCTCCTCCTACCCCTTCGCCTCCCATTTGTGGAGGCCGCGCCAACGGCACGCGGCAGGCAGGGAGGATACGCCCCCGTGGAGCAAGACGCGTACTACATGGGCCTCGTGCTGCACACCCTGCACACTGCAGCCTTGGGAGCCCCACTCGCCCGGGCCTTCGATGCATGCCCAGCGAGCTTCAACGGAGCAACGCGTGTACCACATGGACATTTCGAGAATTCCAGACTCCTCCGACTCCTGCCCTGCCCCTGCCCCGGGCTGCACAACTTTCCCCCTCGCCTTCTTGATATCTTTATTTCTATGCTTTCTTTAGCAAAGCCGAAATGCCAATGCTGCCGCCCTGAGAGCTCCACTCGCGCGCAAGCTTATACCGATGCCGCAACAAAAGCTTATACCGATGCCGCAACAATTGCCGAACTGCTGCGAGGGGATCCACCCAGACGCGGAGTCGCGCGCGCGCGCCGCGAAAAAGCCGGCCTCGAGAGCTCCACTCGCTGGCTACGAGATTCAAAGAAGCAAGACGTGCATCACATGGACATTCCGATACTTCCCGACTCCTCCAATTCCTGCCCTGCCTCGTGCTGCACATCATTCCCCTCGTCTTCTTCTCATTGCTATGCTTCTTCCTTTCACGAGAACAAGCCAGAAAGCAACTGCTGCCGCCCTGAGAGCTCCACTCGCGCGCAAGCTGATGCCGGTGCCGCAACAACTGCCGAACCGCTGTGAGGGGGTCCGGGGCGACGGGGAGTCGCGCGCATTCTGCGAGGGAGCCTGGCCCGTGCCCGTCAGGGCATGGCGTGGACAAAGAGTGGTGCTTAAAAATCTTCTTGAAACGAGGACTCGGCGTGCTGCTCCCTGAATCAGATTCCAGTTGCTAGTTTCCAACGTTGCAGTGTTTTTTTCTGCGTCACGCTGTAAGTTGTTACTGTGCGCGCGAGGGGTGTATGGAGCCGAAAAGGGCCCTGGCGAGCGTCCCCGAATCGCGTTGTCTAAATTTCTGGGGGGCCGTGGGACACGTGAAAATATACGAGATTCGCGCTCCCGACGCAATAGCCCGTCGTAAATTACATTGAATTCGCGCCCCCGAAGTCAAGATCCCTTGCAAATTACACTGTGTTCGCGTCCCCGAAGCCACGATCCCTCGTATCAGACACCATATTGACGTTCGTGAGGCCACGATCCCCCGTAAATTACACCACGTTCTTGCCTGGTCGTGATAAGGGGCAGCGACAAGGAAGAACAGCAGCGGAGGGGCCTTGTGGTGACGTGGTGTCACAGTTTGTTCGGCACCGTGCTCAATAAGTCTGAAATGCTCAACTCATGGAGGCAACGTGGACGTCCTCGCTGGGAGCGGCCCTGCTGGTGGTGCTGCGCCCCCCCCCCCCCCGCGCTCAACCCACGCATGCCAAGGGACCTAGAACAAACAACTGGCGCGAGACAGTCATGCCCGAGTTAAGGAACCTGGCGCCAAGCGGAGCGT